AAGACCTGCCTTCCAATAGAAGGCTGGGCCTATTTTTCAGTATCCCCTAAGACTTTGATGGGCTGGTCCAGATGTATTATTCAAACTATACCACTGTGACTGGGAATCATTTTTTCGCAATGTGGTAGGTTACCATAATTTATGTCATTATACAATGGGCTATTTTGGGGAAGCCTTTCTTCTTTTTCTCTCTCCCCCTTTCTTTTCTGGACAGGTATCATATACTAATGATATATAATATAATATTATAGGGAGTACCTCTGTCCGTCCGATTGTGACATTTCCCTGTTTTTTCAGCTCTTAGATACTAGGGGGTATTCCCCTTTCTTTCCTACATCTTCTGCTTAGGATGGGGAAAAGGCCATTTGCCTGCAAGAAAATTTGATCTTTAACAACACTGGTTCAAGGTAATACTCTGTTAATTGGCATTACGATCATTGGGATGGCCTTATGCAAGTCAATATTTTAAATTCATATACATACATACTTTTGTAGTCTTTGTTTTGAGTACTAGTATACATTTTTTCTTTTCTTCTTTGCTGGTTGGTCTAGACCCTTGGTGCTCTGGACTATTGGCCATTGTTGCGCCCCCATATCTGGCCTTCTGGATGGCCCCTTGCCTTGTGGGAACACAGAGGAGGCTTACCCCTTATGTCTGGAGGGTTCTGCTGCTGCATGGTGCATATTAATATTATATGTAAGTCATATTATATTATTATATGATCCCCTTTTTTTGTGTTGTAATTTGATATATTCAATATATGTATCTTTTTAGATTTTACTACTAAGCCCCTGAAGAAGCGATCATTGTCGTGAAACAATGTTGGGCCATGCTTCCTGCAGTTTAATGTCTCTCATTAAACCAAAAACATGTAGCAGAATAAATTTTGGCCTAAATTTATAGCAAAATTTTAGTTTTTTTTGGATATTTTTTTATGACCGAAATGAAAAAATATAAAAAAAAAATGTTTTTTTTCAATTTTTTTTTGTTTTATAGCGCCAAAAATAAAAAGTGCACAGGTGATCAAATACCACCAAAAGAAAGCTCTATTTGTGTGAAAAAAGGACATACATTTCATTTATGTACTGTATTGCATGACCGCACAATTGTCAGTTAAACTAGTGCAATGCTGTATAGCAAAAAAATGGCATAAATTGCAGTATCTATACCATAGTTTGTAGACGCTATAACTTTCACACAAAGCAATCAATATACACTTATTTGGATTTTTTTTTACCAAAAACATGTAGCAGAATACATTTTGGCCTAAATGTATAACTAACTTTGAGTTTACTAAATATTTTTTATAGCCGAAAGTAAAACATATTGTATTCCTTAAAAATGTTTGGTCTTTTTTTGTTTATAGCGTGAAAAATAAAAAGCGCAGAGGTGATCAAATACCACCGAAAGAAAGCTCTATTTATGTGAAAAACAGGACATAAATTTTGTTTGGGTAAAGCATTGCATGTTGAATAAGTGCAGTGCTGAGTAGCAAAAAGAGGTCTGTTCATTAAGGGGTGTAAATCCTCTGGAGGGCAAGTGGTTAAGAAATAACTAAACAAACTTTTTTTTACTTTTGGATAGAATGGATGTGGAATAGAACACCTGTTAGGTTTTTATTACTGTCTGTGTCCCCAGTAAGGAGATTCACCCTCTCTATTTATCCTGTTTACCATTATCACTGAAAGTGAAAGTAAAGTAAAGTAGTTCAGAATTGCCTGTTTCCTTGTGCTATTTGGAATACAGTGTTAATGTATTTTTGTGCAACAATTATCAGTATTTAGTAGAGATATATTCTTCAACCAGTAGATGGCAGTGTTTATACGTTTGTAGCTGCATCTATGGTAAACTCTGTCTTTTTCCTGAATACATTTTCCTGTTTCCTATTTGCAGTGAAGCAGAAAGACTGCGCACTGTCTGTTCTGTAGTGCTATATACAAAATTTCCAATAGGTAATGAGCCCAGTGTCTGTGAATTATTAGTCGCAGCCAACTACTACAACAAATAAGTGCAAGATACAGCAACAGAAAGAAGATTGCAACAGAATAAAATATAATAGCCAGTAACACAGCTGCAACAAAGCTTTCATTTTCAAACCTGACAAACCAGAATCACCAGTCTTAAAAATTCAAGATGAAACTGCTGCTATTAAGAGAAGGTACATGAAAATTTATAAATTAAGTCAGACCAGAACACCCTGTAGTTGAGTGGATAGAGAAATATCAGAAAGCTCAGAGCACAATCTCTCTTAGCAAATAAGGTGATCAAATCAAACTTATATGTAAGTGTGAAACTGCTAAAGAAATGTGGGAAGAATTACAAAAAGGTGCATGAAAGAGTTAATCTCAGCAATAAACTGTATTTGATTAGAAAGCTATACCAAACCTAGCTGATGAAAGGTGATGCTATGCAGGATTACCTAAGGCACACCTTGGAAATGGTTGAACGCCTGAGAGACAGGAGAAGAAATAAAGGTTTTCCATGTTGCATCCTAGATAGGATAGGATAGGGCGTGGCCTGTCGGATGCGGATGTCAGTACGTTCCCTGCTAATGTCGAGTGACATCTGAGTAGACGGAGCGGGATTTCCTGTTGTGACTATGCGTTTGAAGCCGGTGTCAGCCTAGACACCGCATTTGTGAGTGGATTTTACATTTTAATAAATAGACGCTGGTTAAACATGCTGCACTATTATATTCTCCTTTATTTTTGAATATGGTCCCGATATACATGGAGTCGTGGTGACTGTCCACTCATGGAAGAGTGGCTGCAGAGTATTCCTCCTCATTCCTTGCCTATATAGAAGGGTATTTATCAGCTGGATTCTAATACTGCAGAGTATCACATCAAAAGTCTGGAGTTTGTTGGGGTCCACGCTCCCAGAGCAAAACTGCTAAGGCTGGTCTATAATCTGATCAGCATTTAGCTCTGGTGAGTGCATTTTGATTGATTTTGTGGTGGATTACTCACAAAGTTCGTCATATTTGTCACTTTTTTTGGATTTTCACATATTGATGTATGTATGGACTTTTTTTTGTATGTAGAGGAATTTTTTTGAATTTTTCAAATTTTTTTGAAATTTGATATATGGACATTATACATGTTGATTTAGCGCACTCTTATATTTGATTTAATTTGATTTTCCATTGTGTGTGGAGTTGGAGTTGCTGCTGTATAGCTTGAGGGGTGTGGCGCTTTTCTAAATACCAATTTATCAATTTTAAAATAAACTTCAATAAATCGCAGGCACTCAATATTTCCTTAACCGAGGATGCGATTAGACAAGCGAAAGTTAATTTTCCCTTCACGTGGCAATCAGAAGCCATCACCTATTTAGGAATTCAATTGCCAACCCATCTTACAGAGCTCTACGCCAAAAACTTTCTACCCATCCTGCGTAACATTACCAAAGATCTGCAAACATGGGATAAACTGTTTTTTCTCTTGGTTTGGTAGAGCAGCGATCCTCAAGATGAATGTGCTTCCAAGACTCCTGTACCTACTACAAACAATTCCAATCAAATTGCCCAACTCTTTCTTTAAGTCCTACAAAACATTATGTACCTCGTTTCTATGGTGTAATAAACGCCCTAGAATTGGCTTTGACCAACTAAACATGCCCAAAACGTGTGGAGGTATAGGGCTACCCGACATCTCCCGCTATTACAAAGCTTGTCAAATGGCAAGAATAGTAGATTGGTCCACGAACCATGCTCGCAAGGCCTGGGTTGAATTGGAAGCTGCTTTTTTCGGGGACCCCGCTCGCCACCTCCCCTTGGCTGCTAAACTCTCACATTCCATCTGAGCTCAAGGAACACCTTCTCATAGGCCCTACTTTGTCCTGTTACCATCAGAACAGCAAGAATACAGCGTTCTCATCCACCCCTGGTCCACTCACTCCTGTCAGATTGAACCCAGACTTCCCCCCAGGGTATGTCACACGCCTTTCTTTCGGGATCTGGCCTCACAGACGACTTGAGTCTGCACCAACTCTTCAAAGACGGAGTGCTCTTATCCAGAGACCTCCTTCTGAATAAATGGCCTACCCTGACCTTAACGCCGTGGATGTTTAGACAACTCTACCACTTCATCCACAGCTCACCCCATCTAAAAGAATATACTAGAAATCTTACGCCCTTTGAGAAACTTTGCTCAACGGCCTCTCCCCAGAGACATGTTATATCCAGCTTTATACATGTCTGGAAAACATCAGTGCCCTCTCAACTAGGAAAGCTTGCAAGGGCTGGAGCGCTGACTTACAACTCCAACTATCGCCGGAAGACTGGGACCACATATATGAACACATACATAAATATGTACAACCAGGTGCAATAAACCTTAAACTAATAGGTACCAGTGCAGTCAGGGCTGGAGAGGTGGAGCGGTCAGGCAGGCCGAGCCCACAGCATGGATTTCCTCAGGGCACGGGGTCTAAAGTTCCAGCCTGCTATTCACCAGGGCCCCTGATGGTGGGGATGGACTTGGTGCAGACTGGAACCAGGTCGCGACCCCTGAGTGCGTCCGGCTGTGGTAGCGAGTACTGGCAGGGGAGTGCAGGAACAGAGTCTGATGGGAAGAGGCAGGCAGACTTACTAGAGGTGATCCGTGCGGGATGGATGGATCGCCGGGTGAAGTAAGCATAGTCAGACAGGCCGGGTCGGTATCGTGCGGGCAGGCAGCGTGGTACAGGAGGAGCAGGCAGAGAATGGTCGGGGATTACAGGCCAGGTTCAGCAGGTAGTGGGCAGCGCGGTACCAAGGATCAGTTGGCAGAAGCATGGTCAGGCAAGCCAGGGGTTCAACAGGAGACGGTCAGCAGAGGTCAGGATCAAAGCAGGTCAGCAACGAGGCAGGAACACAGGATACCAGGTACAGGGGCTCATGGGAAACATACACCAAGGCCCAGATCACAGGCCTGGCCATTCCTTAAATACACCTCTTGCAATCAGCCCAGGTGTTGGCTGACTACAGGAGTGGAGCTTCTGGCTGCTGAGAGCACTCGCTGGTCAGCCCTGTACTGCAGCCCACACGGCAGGTGAGTCCCACCACCAGTGCTGAGTCCATTCCTGACAGTACCCCCCCCCTCAAGGAGTGGCCTCAGGACGCTCCAAACAGTCCTTAGTGGGCAAAATGTCTGCTGGCACCGCCTGGTGGGTCAGGTAACTGGCTGGATATCTGGCCTTACTGCCGAGAGTCAACCGGGCTGGCTGGGTTTCCTGCTGGCACGACTTCGGGCTCTTTATGTAAGGGGAACCCAGGAATCTGGCAAGAAGGTCGCTGGACACAGGATTTCCAGGAGCAGGCAGGGAATCGGGCACCGTTATCGGCCAGTTTAGCTGGGCAGCGGGCGGAGAGCACGTCAGGCTGGGGCAGCTGGACTGGGACGCACGTGACACGGCGACAGCGGGCACCAAGTCATCTGGCACAACGACAGCAAGCACCGAGTCATCTGGCACGACAGCAGGGCTCTGAGTCATCTGGCAGGGACGAACCACGGGCACAATGCTGGCAGACAGCGGGCAACCGAGGTCACCCAAGCTCGACAGCGGGCACCGAGTCATCTGGCACGACAGCGGAGCTCCGAGGGCAGAAACCGAGTCACCGAGTCATTTGGGCAAGACAGCGAGCTCCGAGTCATCTGCAGCAGTCATCTGGCCAAGCTCGACAACGAGTCATCTGGCGACAGGCACCGAGTCATCTGGCACGACAGCGGGCACCAAGTCGTTCATCTGGCACGACAGCGGCTCCGGCACTGGCGAGTCATCTGGCATTGACAGCGGCCTCCGAGTCACCGCAGAAGCAGCGGCATCTGGCACGTCACACCGACAGCGGGCACTGAGTCATCTGGCAGACAACCGCTGGGGCACACCGGGTCACCAAGCTCGACAGCGGGCACCGAGTCATCTGGCACGACAGCGGGCACCAAGTCACGACAGCTGGCACCGAGACATCTGGCACGACAGCGGCTCCGAGTCATCTGGCAGAACCGCGGGCACCGGGTCACCAAGCTCGACAGCGGCACCGAGTCATCTGGCACGGACCAGCGGCACCGCGGCACCGGTCATCTGGCACGACTCGGGCACTCCGAGTCATCTGGCAGAACCGGGCACCGAGTCATCTGGCACCGAGTCATCTGGCACGACAGCGGGATCCGAGGTCATCTGCAGAAGTCATCTGGCACCAGTCATCTGGCACGACAACCGCGGCAGCGGGCACCGAGTCACTGGCACGACAGCGGGCACCGAGTCATCTGGCAGACCAGCGGGCACCGGGTCACCAAGCTCGACAGCGGGCACCGAGATCCGAGTCAACATATCTGGCACGACAGCGGGCACCGAGTCATCTGGCACGACGCAGGCACCGAGTCATCGACAGCGCGGGCACCGAGTCATCTGGCTCGACAGCGGGCTCCGAGTCATCTGGCAGAACGCGCGGCACGTCACAGCACGACAGCGGGCACCGAGTCATCTGGCCAGCGAGTCCGGTCACCTGGAACAGCGGGCACCGAGTCATCTGGCACGACAGCGGGCTCCGAGTCATCTGGCACTGGCACCGAGTCATCTGGCACGCTCGACAGGTCCGAGTCATCTGGCACTAGACAGCGGCTGGCAGACAGCGGGGGCACCGAGTCATCTGGCAGACAGCGAGCTCCGAGTCATCTGGCAGAACCGCGGGCGGGCACCAAGCTCGACAGCGGGCACCGAGTCATCTGCAAACAGCGGGCACAACATCTGGCACGACAGCGGCCTCCGAGTCATCTGGCACGACAGCGGCCTCCGGAGTCATCTGGCAGAACCATGGGTCACCAAGCTCAAACAGCGGGCACGAGTCATCAGACAGCGGGATCCGAGTCATCTGGCAGAACCCGGGCACCGGGTCACCAAGCTCGACAGCGGGAACCAGTCATCTGGCACGACAGCGGGCACCGAGTCATCTGGCACGACAGCGGCTCCGAGTCATCTGGCAACAGCACCGGGTCATCTGGCCAAGCACCGACAGCGGGCACGAGTCATCTGGCACGACAGCGGGCTCCGAGTCATCTGGGGACAGCGGGCCTCCGAGTCATCTGGCAGAACCATGGGTCACCAAGCTCAACAGCGGGCACCGAGTCATCTGGCACGACAGCGGGATCTGCCGAGTCATTGGCAGAACCACGGGCACCGGGTCACCAAGCTCGACAGCGGGCACCGAGTCATCTGGCACGACAGAGGGGCACCGAGTCATCTGGCACGACAGCGGGCACCGAGTCATCTGGCACGACAGCGGGCTCCGAGTCATCTGGCAGAACCGCGGGCACCGGGTCACCAAGCTCGACAGCGGGCACCGAGTCATCTGGCACGACAGCGGCCTCCGAGTCAGAACCGCGGGCACCATGGGTCACCATCTGGCAGCACGACAAGCTCGACAGCGGGCGGGACAGCCGAGTCATCTGGCACACGGGCACGGGTCACCAAGCTCGACAGCGGGCACCGAGTCATCTGGCACGACAGCGGGCACCGAGTCATCGGCACGACAGCGGGCACCGAGTCATCTGGCACGACAGCGGGCACCGAGTCATCTGGCAGAACCGCGGGCACCGGGTCACAAGCTCGACAGCGGGCACCGAGTCATCTGGCACGACAGTGGGCTCCGAGTCATCTGGAGAGAAACCGCAGTCATCTGGCACGACAGCGGGCTCCGAGTCATCTGGCACGAACCTCCGAGTCATCTGGCAGAACCGCGGGCACCGGGTCACCAAGCTCGACAGCGGGCACCGAGTCATCTGGCACGACGGGATCCGAGCGGCAGAACCGCGGGCCGAGTCATCTGGCACGACAGCGGGCTCCGAGTCATCCAGACAGCGGCCTCCGGCATCTGGCACGACAGCGGGCCTCCGAGTCATCTGGCAGAACCGCGGGCACCGGGTCACCAAGCTCGACAGCAGGCACCGAGTCATCTGGCACGACAGCGAGCTCCGAGTCATCTGGCAGAACCGCGGGCACCGGGTCACCAAGCTCGACCTGGCTCCGAGTCATCTGGCAGAACCGCGGGCACCAAGTCATCTGGCACAACAGCGGCCTCCGAGTCATCTGGCACGACAGCGGCCTCCGGGTCATCTGGCAGAACAGGGTCACCAAGCTCAACAGCGGGCACCGAGTCATCTGGCATGCTGGCGAGGAAACAGCGGGAAGCCGAGTCATCTGGCAGAACCTCCGATGTCATCGGGCACCGGGTCACCAAGCTCGACAGCGGGCACCGAGTCATCTGGCACCGGGTCACCAAGCTCGACAGCGGGCACCGAGTCATCTGGCAGAACCGCGGGCACCGAGTCATCTGGGAACAGCGGGCTCCGAGTCATCTGGCACGACAGCGGCCTACCGAGTCATCTGGCACGACAGCATGCCTCCGAGTCATCTGGCAGAACCGCGGGCACCGGGTCACAAGCTCGCAGCGGGCACCGAGTCATCTGGCACGACAGCGAGCTCCGAGTCATCTGGCAGAACCGCGGGCACCGGGTCACCAAGCTCGACAGCTGGCTCCGAGTCATCTGGCAGACAGCGGGGCACCGAGTCATCTGGCCGGGCTCCAGTTCACCTGGCACGACAGCGGCCTCCGGGTCATCTGGCAGAACCATGGTCACCAAGCTCAACAGCGGGCACTTCGAGTCATCTGGTAAGACAGCGGGATCCGAGTCATCTGGCAGAACCACGGGCACGGGTCACCAAGCTCGACAGCGGGCACCGAGTCATCTGGCATGACAGCGGGCACCGAGTCATCTGGCACGACAGCGAGCTCCGAGTCATCTGGCAGAACCGCGGGCACCGGGTCACCAGCTCGACAGCGGGCACCGAGTCATCTAGCACGACAGCTTGCTCCGAGTCATCTGGCAGAACCGCAGGCACCAAGTCATCTGGCACGACAGCGGGCTCCGAGTCATCTGGCACGACAACGGCCTCCGAGTCATCTGGCAGAACCGCGGGCACCGGGTCACCAAGCTCGACAGCGGGCACCGAGTCATCTGGCAAGACAGCGGGATCCGAGGCGCGGGCACCGAGTCATCTGGCGCACGACAGCGGCACTCCGAGTGGCACGACAGCTGCCTTCGAGTCATCTGGCACGACAGCGGCTCCGAGTCATCTGGCAGAAGCACCGGGTCACCAATTTGGCAAGATCTGGCACGACAGCTCCGAGTCTCCGAGTCTGGCACCGCGGGCACCGGGTCCACCAGCGAGCTCCGAGTCATCACCAAGTTATCTGGCATCGGGTCCTCTGGCTCGACAGCGGGCACCGAGTCATCTGGCATGATAGGATCAACAGGCCGGGTAGGAACATCAGGCTGGGTAGAGCCATCAGGCCAGGTATAACAATCAGGCTGGGTAGCGTACACTGGGTCATCAGGCATCAGGGTATCAGGCTGAACCATGGAAGGCGGGTTCTCAGACAGCAGACTGACCAGTTTGGATACTGGCAGGATGGTACTGGTTGGAAAGAATTATCGCCTTTTCCCGGTTTTAGTTACTGGAGCACTGTAAGTAAGTGCAGGTTTGTAAACAGATAGAGCAGCTGTAGGCAGAGAAGAGCTGGGGGATGGAACAAAGGAAGGAGCAGTTGCTACAGAGGACTTCTTTACAGGGTTAAAGGCAGGATAGGTGCAGCGAGTGGGAGCAGGGTACGGACAAGTGGTAGGTAGTAGGGTATACTGGGCTGTCACTGGGGGTGCTGTCGGGAGTGCAGGAAGAGAGCTTTGAGCAGAGAAATGATGAGAAGAAGGACTGGTTTGTTGCAAGCTGACTGAGGCTGGGTGTAACAACTCTGACTATGTCTGCAGTACTGGCTGAACAAAGCTCTGCTTACACAAAGCCTGTCTGGTCAAAGACTTCACTGCGTTTATACAATCCCTTAGTACCTGTTGTGAACATGCAGAATAATGCTCCAAGAAGCACTCCACATCATCCTCTAATAACCATACCAGGGACTCTACCTGGTCTGCACTAAATGGCGGCAAAAAGTCATTCCTGCTTTCAGGGGTACCAGATGAAGCCAACTCTGCACAAACCTGAATCAAAGGTTGCACCTCAGAGAATTCTGTGCCCTGATCTACTAGAACATGAGCGACCCGTATACATTCTAGCAGTTGATCCCTGGTATACTCCTTCAGAGTCTGATAAGCATACTCTCTGTCATCCTAGACCAGCAGAGACAAATACACTACCTCATCAGGATGCATCCTTCACAACAAGCCAAGATGGCTTCCCTGTGCAGCCACTTCTGGTCAGGAATGGCCTTGGTGTAATGTCAGGGCTCCAGGTATGACCAGAGGTGTGTGGACCGACACAGGGAAACACAGACTTCAGGTATAGCGTGTAACACAATATAATTTATTAAAGACAACACAAACATAAACGCAGTGCAAACAATCAAACTCAACACTTACATAAATATGTACAACCAGGTGCAATAAACCTTAAACGAATAGGTACCAGTGCAGTCAGGGCTGGAGAGGTGGAGCGGTCAGGCAGGCCGAGCCCACAGCACGGATTTCCACAGGGCGCGGGGTCTAAGTCCCAGCCTGCTATTCACCAGGGCCCCTGATGGTGGGGATGGACTTGGTGCAGACTGGAACCAGGTCGCGACCCCTGAGTGCGTCCGGCTGTGGTAGCGAGTACTGGCAGGGGAGTGCAGGAACGGAGTCTGATGGGAAGAGGCAGGCAGACTTACTAGAGGTGATCCGTGCGGGATGGA